TATTGCTAAAATTACTCCACTTATCAGTAAATGGTGTCTAGCACTCCTCAAAAATAGTTTAGGGGTAAAAATACACTTTAATCTAAAAGTTAATTAAATGAGGATTTAATATAATAAAATACTCTTTATAAGTTATATTTATTTTTAAAATTTTTATTAATTTTAAATTATTTATTTAAATATTGATAAAATTATTTAAACTTTTTAAAGTTAGGGGAGAGAGAGTAGACAATTAGATTATCAGGGTGAAATAGTAATTTTAAAATTTTTAACATAATTACAAATAAAAAGTTAAGTATTTTAAGCTATTTAACAAAATATTTCTAATGGTATTAATAATCGGATTGAAGTGTAGATTTTAAAAATAAAGAGAAAAGCAAAAGGGAAGGGAGGTTATTGCTTTTTACTTATTTTTTTAAATGTTATTCAGATTTTTTTCAGTTACACTTATTGAGAATTTTTTTTAAGTTTTAACAAATATATGTCACCTTTAGCAATTTGTTAAAAACTAATTTATTTTTTATTCGCATCATACATCAATATCAACATAGAGGTAGATGGAGATTAGAATTAATAATTCTAATGGGCTGATTTTATTTAAATTGAGCTTTAAATACCTAAAAATATTAACAAAAAAACTCATTTAATCAAGTCTGATTTTAACACATTGGGCTTTTGATCTAATTCAAGTATCCAAATTGTTAAACATTATTTTATTTTTAAATTTTTTGCCAATGAAAATTTTTACCTTAAAAATTATAATTTCCAATTTTTATCTTTTTTAATTTTAATTTATTAATAATAAAAAAGTTTGAGTTTTTAGGCTAATTGTGGTTTATAAACTCCCAAACCCAACTTTAAATTTTTTTTGAGCTGACCTAAATTACTAGCTCTAATGAAATACATGACACATGAATTTAAATATAGAAGAGTATGTCTTAAATTGAACAATAAAAATAGAAGGAGAAAGGTGGTGCTAGGATTCATCGTTAAAATGAAAATACAACAAGGGGTTAAACGTCAACGGTCGGTCTGAATATAAAAAAAGTAAATTGTAATCCACATTGCACAGTAAGCCACAGTAATTACTAGTCGCATTATTTAAATGTCTGAAAAGTCAAAAAGTAAAAAAAAAAAACACAATAAAGCAATAAAAAAAAAAGTATCTTCACATGGTTCTGTCCTTTCATTCTGCAAAAAGAAGCACTAATGTCTGTAACATGGTTTGAATGATGAACACGTAGAGACTTGAGAGAAGACCTGGGCTTCCAGTTGAGCTCGTGACTGCTTGAGAGTATTATTATTTATTGTACTCTCATCTTAAATCAACGTGCACAAGAGTTCCATTTGGCTCACTCTGTCCATTTTGCTTCGCATTATTTCTCCATTTTATTTTTCTCTGAAATTTGTAGCAGCCTGCTCAACTTCATCTTATTTCACTTTGAAATCGAACAAATCTTTCCATATTACTTCATCCTTCAGGTTTCTACTTTCTTCCCTGCTCCGTTTTAGATTTATTCTGTGAACTGAATGGTCTGGATCTGTGACATTTCGCTTTTCTTTAAACATCCAACGTCAACAAGAAAGATCACATACACAGATTCTGCTTCCATTTAATTGAATTTTTTTTCTTCCTTCTATGTTTACTTTCTCTCTTTTATGCCTGGATGCTGATGGATGTATTTTGTAATTTGCCTGGTGGAGTTTCAAATTGTTGTTATGGCATTTGAAGCTCGTGGGGTTGACTACCCTTCAAGCTCTTCTGGTTCAGCCAAGAGATGGAAGTATCACGTGTTCTTGAGTTTTCGAGGAGAAGACACTCGTAAAAGCTTTACAGATCACTTGTATTGTACTTTACAACGCAAGGGAATGATAGCTTTCAGGGATGACGAAGAACTTGAGAGGGGACAAGTTATTAAACCAAGTCTATTCCAAGCAATTAAAGAATCTCTTTCGGCAATTGTTGTTCTTTCTCCAAATTATGCTTCTTCAACCTGGTGTTTGGATGAGCTCTCAATGATTCTTCATTTTAAGAAAGAGTTGGGTCTTCATGTATTTCCTATCTTTTATGGTGTGGATCCGTCTGATGTTCGACATCAAAGAGGAAGTTTTTTGGAAGCATTTAAAAAACATGAAGAAAAACTTTCACAAGCCAACATGAAGGTGCAAAATTGGAGGGATGCTTTGAAGGAAGTCGCCAACATATCTGGCTGGCACTCTGATAATTGGTAATTTCTTGAATTTCCAATAATTATCTTGAACAATTTTTAAATTGACTCACCTCAAACTCCTTGAAAATCACCACTCATAATGTTTCTATAAGATAACTTCATGTAAAATGATTTTCTTTCAAAAGTTACCATTGAATAAAAATAATAGTTCCATAATAGGAAACATGACACTAACATAATTGAGCCAAATCTTATTTTAAGGACGAGCATATGGTAGGTTTTTTTTACTAATTAATAAAATGTTCAAACGAACTTGTTACTTCTTCTTTCTTGACATTTGAAACTTGAGAATTGAGATGCATCATTGAATACTGAGTAATTTTTAATGTCCAATTCATGAGCGCAAAAGAACGTTAATGCCAGTAAGAAAATTATGGGGAGGCAATTTAGTAACATGATCAACTAAACAATGAGGAACCCAAGTTATATATCCAAGCTATTTAATATTGCATTACAATAATTTTAACAAGTGTGATAAATGTATCTCAAGGTTAACTTATGTTCTGTAGTTGAACTAAAAATTAATTTTACTCATGTGACCATGTTTTTTTTATATCGTGTTAACCATTTTAGTTTATATAGAAATTAAAATTCAATTGACTTAATGTTACTGATATTACTTTATATATATTCCTTTGTAGGTATGAAACAAAACTCATTGAAACTGTTATTGAAGAAGTGTGGTCAAAAATATATGAACTTCCATTTGACTCTGAGAGATTAGTTGGAATTGAAGCAAAACTTGCAGACTTAAATTCACTTATAGATAATGGATTGGATGAAGTTCGATTTATCAGAATATGGGGCACAGGTGGTACAAGTAAAACTACTCTTGCAAGAGCTTTCTATGAGAGAATGTACAAAGACTTTAAAGGTCATTGTTTTCTTCTTAATGTTAGAGAGGTACATGGAACAAAAGGTTTGGTTTCCCTGCAAAAAAATATTCTTTCTTCTTTGAATAAAAGAAGCATGGATGTCAGTGACTATTACGAAGGAAGGAAGTTGATAAAAAACATGCTAAGCAATAGGAAAATTCTCTTGTCCTTGACGATGTGAGTGATATAAGCCAACTTGAGAATTTGGCTGGAAATCAAGGATGGTTTGGCAAAGTGAGCTTAATAATTATAACAACCAGAGACAAGCATTTGTTATTATCACATGGTGTATCGACTTGTTATGACATCAAATTCTTGAGTGACAGTGAATCCCTTGAACTTTTCCATCAAAATGCTTTTAAAGGAAGTAGGCCAAGTGAAGATTTTTTAGAGCTTTCTAAAACTGTGATTCACAATGCTAGCGGCCTTCCTTTGGCACTCAAAGTGTTGGGTTCATTTCTTTGTGGAAGAAATGAATTAGAATGGAGAGATGCAATAGCTAAGTTTAAGAAAGCTCCTCCGAATGACATTTTGAAGATACTTAAAGTGAGTTTTGATGGACTAGAAAAACATGAGAAGACAATATTTTTAGATATTGCTTGCTTTTTTAAGGGCATGGATGAAGATTATGTCATGCAAATTTTACAAAAATTGGATCTTCACCCGAGAATTGGAATAAAAATTCTTATGGATAAATCGATGGTCATTATTAATCATGGGACTTTGTGGATGCATGACATGCTTGAGGAAATGGCTAAGAATATTGTTGTTCAACAATCACCCATTGATATTGGCAGACGTAATAGGATATGGTCCTTGGAGGATACTAATGATGTTCTAGAAAGCAATAAGGTAATACTAATTTCTTTGGCCTTGTTAGCATATAAGATAATGCTCATAAATTTTTATGACTATGCTGTTTTTATTTAGTAAATTATTCCATGCGTTATTTATATCATTAACTTGAATTTTTTTTTTTTGGTATTTAGGGGACGAAAAAAATTCGAGGCATCGTGTTAAGATTAGACAAACCATATGTCTCTCATTGGGATCCTAATGCCTTCATAAAGATGAGTAATCTTAAATTACTTATCATAACAAATCATTGGCAATATCATGCTCCTTCTTTTTGTTATTTGAATCTTCCTTGTGGACTTGAATGCTTTCCAAATACATTAAAAGTCTTGGAATGGAAGGGATGTTGTTTAGATACTTTGCCAAGTCAAGTTCCAAAACAACCACAGGTAATTAATTATGGCCTTTCTATTAAAGATAGTTATATATAATTTTAGACAATTGATACCAGTTTAAGAGTTTTTTGGGTCATTTTTAACTTTTTATTTTTCAGGTTTTAAGAAGGCTTAAGTACCTTGATTTAAGCTATTCAGGACATTTAATCAAAACACCAAATTTTTGATGAAATCCCTGATTTTGAAATACTCATTCTTGAAGGTTGTGTAAACCTTGTTGAAGTACATCCATCTCTTGGACACCATAAGAATCTTGCCAGAGTCAATTTGAAGGGATGCAAGAGTATTAAAACTCTACCAAGTTTGAGATGTAGAGACTCTTATACTCTCAAGCTGTTCAAAAATCAAACAACTTCCAGAATTTGGGAAAAGCATGAAATGTCTATCCCAACTTGATGTGGAGGATACTGGTATCACAAAACTACCTCAATCGCTTGTCAATTTGACTGCTCTTGCAGTTTTAAATCTGAAGAATTGCAAAAATTTGGTATTCCTTCCAAATGTGATTCAATATATGAAGTCTATTAGAATTCTCAATTTTTCTAGTTGCTCAAAGCTTTCAAGTCTTCTAGAGGTTTCAAATGAAAATGTAGCTTTGGAAGTGCTTGATGCTTGTGGAATTGCTATAAAGGAAGTGCCTTCATCAATCCTTCAATTGAGAAATTTGAAATCACTATCTTTTAGGGGATGCACTGGACAAGAACAATCATCCTTACTAAATTTCTCTTCTCTCTTGAGTAGATTCTTTGGGATTACAAGGCCTTCAATAGCCACTAGGTTGTTGCTGCCCCCTTCTTTATCAAGTTTATCATCACTGATAAAGTTAGATTTGAGTCATTGCATTCTCTGTGATCAGTCCCTTCCTAATGATATTAATGCATTATCATCATTGAGGTGTCTTGACCTGTGTGGAAACAACTTTGTGAACCTACCTAGTGGCTTTATCGCTAATCTTTTAAAGCTCCAGGTTGTTTACTTTATTCATTGCTCCAAGCTTCAGTTACTACCACGACTTCCACCAAATTTGGAAAAAACAGAGGCAGTTGATTGTCCTGCAATGACACCTAAACTTGGTCCACAATAGCTGTGGGAATTCTTTGAACGATTTGAATATAAGGTTGGTTTGATTCTCTTGTTAATTAGGATGTTTCTTACACATTATAATCATTATACTTCTCTAACATATATGCAAAACTATAGCTTCAAAATTGCACAAAGTTAAAAGAGCGTTACATTTAGATAATCTTTGAAGTTTTCTTATATAGTTGTTTCTTGAATGTTATGATCATCACACTTATTTAACATACTAATAATATTTGTTGCAGGATAGCTTCGACTCAAGAGTGTATTTGATAAATATTCCAGGAAGTGAAGTGCCATCATGGTTTTACAATCAAAATTACTTCTATGACGAGGCTTGGACTTTCACACAAAATGTGTCATTTACAGCAGATATAGATGATCAATGCCTTTCAAGGAAATGGTGTGGAATAGCTGTATGCTTAGCTGTAGAAGGTTGTTTTGCATCTACTTCTGTTAAAAGTGATGATCAAGCATATATGCTTTGGAAATATAGAAATATTCAGAACATGCAGGGTGTCACTGTGTTTCAGCTTTGGCGTAGCCAACTCGTTTTATTATTTACTCCATGCTTTGATAAGGGAAAACTTCAATTTTCTTTTCACGTTGGAACTTATGGTAGTTATAGGGGGAGAAGAAGGGTAAAAATAAGAAAGTATGGGTGGCGTGTGGTATGTAAAGAAGATGTTGAAGCATTGCAGAGAACAAGTGGTGAAGGATGTCGCAACAATGGTTCAGACAACTACCATAGTCTTCATGAAACGCCAAACATTGAAATAAATCATTCAAGGTACGATCAACATTATCTCCCCCCCCCCTCTCTTTTATGGATATCTCATGTTATTCTCCTATTACATACAAAGTAGTACCAGCAACATTGGCATCGTTCGCATATGACTAATTCGTTGTTCCAAAAATTGTATTATTAATCTCATCTCTACAATGTCACATAATTTTGATTTGATTTATCTTTATAATCAATGTTATTAAAACCAAACCGGATATTAAACCGATTGAGGTACTGGTTCACAATTTAATAGTCGAACTGGGGTTGGAATGTTTATAATTAAATTAATATATTTTAAATATTATATGCTAAAAATTATAATTATATTACTTAAATTAATATTTTTTTGTAAAAAATATTAATTTAAGTAATATAATTTAAACACCTTTAAGGCCACCAACACCGTCTTAAAGTTTGTGGCCTTCATTTATTTGACTATTTCCCCTAAAAAGTTAAAACATTTATTATATTTGGTTTCTCACATGATTTAGCTTGCGCACACAAACACAGTTTTTCTTTTTCATGAGATCTTCTCAATTCTTCTTGGACCAATAAGGCTGACTTCTTATGGCTTACAGAACAGCTGGGAGCTACATAGGTCTTAGCATCCTCGAACAGAGTCATTTGATTCAAAGACTTTGCGCCATGAGCTTGTCAGGTGCGACGAGTAACAGTTCGAGAGAGAGCTTCAGCCGCAAGATGAAGAGAGAGACTGATGATGCAGAGCATGAGTGCGATGACAGATGAGGAAGAATGAGGAGGACTCAGTGATTCACAAAGAAGGCGCTCGAAGAAGATGAGGCTTGCGCTTGATTCTTGCAACTTGAGAGAGCTTCAGCCACAATAATTTATATTTAAGGTTCGAGAGCACAAGATTGAGAGGTATGCTATTTTGTGTTTTGCCCTTTTTTGTCTACTTCATCCAGAAAAATAAAAAAACATTGTTTTTTAAATAAAAAAGCGACAGCATATTTGTCAATTTGGAGAGAAGGAACAAAAAAATAAAGTGAACCATTTGAACCATTCAAATGGATGATTCTCCCAGTTCAAGCAGGTTTAGGCGGTTCGCAAGCTATTCTCTTCTTCCCTAGTTATGTATCAGTTTTGGACCGGCTACTTCGCTGGTTCTCGGTTGAACTGGTCGAACCAGCCGAATCAGATAACCATGTTTATAATACAAAATTTAAACAATTTTAATTCAATCTTTGCTTTTTCTATAAGCATTTATAATTCAATCTTTATTATTGTGTTTTGTCAATTATATGGCTACATATGTGAAAATATTTAGCTATACTTATAAAACTTAACAAATTCTCGTAAAATTACTTTATCAACATATGGATATATTTTTAAAAAAAAATTGTAAACTGTACAAATATAAAACTTTTATACTCATTTGTTTGATCTATCATTTATGTAAGCCACGCCATACAAGTATATTATTATGTATTGTGTAACTTAGGATTCGCTTATCATAATAATCAACTATAATTTTTTCCCCCTGCTTGCAGGTTTCTCTTCTCATGGCCGCCTTTTTTGTAATTAAAAGGTTGTTTTAGTTGGTTCTTTGCGATTGAAGCTTATTTTCATGGTGAATTTGAGGATTAATTTCTCATCCCATTCCTTGTGATTTAGTGTGAGACTTCATGAAATATGTGGTGTTTTCTTAATGATGTTTTCAAATGGAATAAACTTTTTTTAAAAATATAATGGTTTCCGTAAATAATACATTTGGGAGACTTTTAGAGACAAACATTCCTATATACCATTTTCTTTGTATTCTCTGGTTTTTTAATGTGTAGGAACATTTATTTTGACAAATACTCCTCCAACGAAAATTTTTATTTTCTTAAAAAAAGATGAATTTATTGGACTGTTTCTTAAGAGAAAACACTCCTAAAGTAGTTTAAATTTTCTATTTTTAAAATTCAGAAGTATTCAGAAGTGAAAGGCGTTAGCTTAATTCATTCATATATAGAACATGCGTTTATGCAGCAGCGTGCAATCATAACAGAATCAGCAAACTAAACCTAGTCAATGATACGATTGGACACCAACAGGAGAATATTCACAATATCTAATTCCATTAAACAATATAAAACATTTTTTTTAAAGTGAGATGTTAAAAAATATAAAGTATTTTGTGTCTTTTAAGGCTTAATTAATAATGCTTTCTAATTAAGAAACTCTATTAAATAAGTGCAACATAAAAAGAGTGTGAAATTTTTAAGATAATTAACTAATTCATTATTACAATAGAGGGTATGATTTAATAAAAAATGTCCTATAATTATTAAATAGAAGTAGAATCCCAAAATATCCTAGACAGGGAAGATACAAAACAGCAAAAGGAGAAACTTGGGCCAAGTGAAAAAAGTGGAAACCACAAATACAGGTAACATACAAGCTTATTGTTGTGGGAAATTTTTTTTTTTTAAACTTACGGATCTCATTGAGTTAATTCTCTCATGTAATTATAAAACATTGTAATTTGTTTGAACTTAGAATAAGAATAATTTAGCATTTAAAGTCATCGTGCATCAACAAAGAAGCCAAGAAAAACTCAATACCCAACAAAGAAAAAAAAAGAAAATTAAATCTGAAAAATACAACAAATGTTCATAAAAACAATTTTTTTTTTCGGTCGGTAAAAACGATTCAAAATTGAAACAGTGGTCAAAACGGTTGAATTTGCAAATTTCAACCCCAACCTAATAAAAAAGGTACTAATTTTGCTCATCATCCCCACAAGCAGGGGAATGCCAAATTAAAAACAGAGTACAATGAGCATAATAATGCAAAATACAACCGAAACGAGCAGCGTATAGGCGGTAAAACGGGAGAAAATGCAAGAAATAAACAAGTTAAAAATAGGGGAAACTAGTAGAATCTCAAACGAATTAAGTGTGGAAAAACAACAAAGGGCTAATCAAAGAAGGATAGATCTTGGTGAGAAACAATCATAAAATGGAAAATCGCAATCAGGGAACTTTCAAGCAATTTTCTTTTTTGGAAAAAAGACTAATATTGAATATTCTAATTTTAAATTTTGAAGAACTAAGTATAAAAGTTGCGTGTGTTATGTCAATAATGTTGGTCCAAAAAAAAAATTCATGTTGATGACAATGTCTAGTGGGTGTAGCTGGCTTGTTCTTGATTAATTTGACCGTCGTTCTTATTATTCGATCAATCTCTTGTCAGCAATAAACTCTAGTGGTTTTTCCGGCAACCTAAAAATAAAAACTGACTGATGAAGAAAACAGACCATCAGAGGTGAATGTTTTGGGTTCAACGCTGAACAGAGGGATAGCCAGAGGAAGAAGACATTTTGGAATCAAATCTGGTACGTTTGGGGCAGGGCCGAAAACTTGAAGATATCATAATGTCTCTCATAACACAAGGCACAGTATTACAAGGGCCTTTGGAACTGTTGGGTTACATAAAAGTGCACATTTGATGGGTCAAGAGATCCCATACCAAATAATAAATCATTTACTATAACAGTTTTTGTCCGTGCCATATTTATTTATTTTTAATTAATACCCACTTTTAACAATGGGTGAGTGGCACTTGTTGAATCTCAATATCTCAATTCATATGTATAATAATAATATGATAGAATAAAGTAATTCGTGCGTGCCTGAAGAATCCATGAGTGCTAGAAAAATCTTGATTACCTCGAGTGCAGGCAGGTACACGACCCTCAAGTCCCCAGAGCCTTCAGAGAGTTCAAAGATAATGGAAGTAGAAGAAAATGAGTCGTGTATTTGCGGTTACCGACTAATCGTCTTATATAGATCAGATCGGTAACCGCCTTATTAAACAATTAAATAATTATATTATCTATTATCTCTGACTCAGTCAGTTAAGAGATAGGAAATAACTGACGGCTACTGGGTTGTGGGTTGGGCCTCTGCCCATTGGGCTCACTTGTGTGGTCCACCTATCACGGTCCACACAAGATCATAAGGACCAATTTATTGGGCTTATTAATTAATGCTAATTCATAAATAATATTCCAACAATCTCCCACTTGGATTGCATTAATTAAGTAAGTTGTATAAACAAGCCACGAACAAAATTCAGAAAATGAAACTCCACAAAATCACTGAATCCTATAGGGAAACAAGTGATATGATATCTCATAATCTGAGTAAAACATGAAATTTTATTTCAAACACAGCTCAGTAAGATAACAACATAAATCACTGATTCCTATGGGGAAACAAGTGATATGCATAGCGTACCACAACAGAATCATTGAATCCTATAGGGATACAAATGATATAGACGCATCTAACTGAACTGAACATAACTCACAGAAGAAAACAAAGCCTAAAGAGAAATTGCAACATAAAAGGTTCTCAAACTCCCACTAAACTAGGGCATAAAAGGAATTCACAATACCCATACAAGTTACATGATTTTGAAAAACTTCTATAGGTAAGCCCTTAGTCAGTGGATCTGCAAGCATCTGCGTGCCAGGAATGTGTACCACGCAGGTTTGAGACTCAGCAATTTTCTCTTTCACAAACATAAGTTTGATATCAAAATGCTTTGTACGACTGGAATTTCTGTGATTGTTAGCATAGTATATTGCAGATTTGTTATCACAATAAATGGTTAGAGGACGTGATATTGACTCAACTAGGTGCATGCCAGATATCAACTTCCTCAGCCATATAGCGTGACCTGTAGTCTCAAAGCAAGCAATATACTCAGCTTCCATAGATGAAACTACTGTAAGTGTCTGTTTCATACATTTCCAAGAGACAACTCCTCCAGACAACATGAAAATATAGCCAGTCGTGGATTTACGATCATCCAGACAAGAGGCAAAATCTGAATCTGAAAAGCCAATGATCTCAAGATCTTCTGATCCCTTAAAGTCATAATCAGAATACCCAACAACCTCAAGAGAATTTGACCTTCTGTAAGTCAACATATGATCCTTTGTACCTTGAAGATACCTCATAACTTTCTTAGCAGCCTTCCAATGATCCGGACCTGGATCATTTAAGTATCGACCTAGCACTCCAATGGCAAAGGCTATATCTGGTCGAGTACACACTTGAACATACATAAGGCTGCCGACAGCGGAAGCGTATGGTATCTTTCTTATTTCAGCCCTCTTCTTATCATCCTTGGGACACTGTAACTTTGACAACAGCTCATCTTTCTATACAGGAGCAGGTGAAGGAGAACATGAATCCATTTTGAATCTCTTAAGAACCCACTCAATATAAGTGGCCTGTGATAAACCAAGAATACCACGAGATCTATCACGATGAATTTGTATCCCAAGAATGAAGGAGGCTTCACCCATGTCCTTCATGTCAAAATGGCAAGACAATAGGTGCTTTATCTCATTGAGGAAATTTATTGAATAGCTGGCTAATAAGATATCATCAACATAGAGAACAAGAATGGCAAAATTGTTCCCATCAAGCTTCTGATAGATGCACTGATCTGAGACATTCTCAACAAAACTAAGAGAGATGATAACTTCATCAAATTTCAAATACCACTGCCTAGAGGCTTGTTTTAACCCATAGATGGATCTCTTTAATCTGCACACTAGATGTTCTTTACCGGATTCAACAAAACCATCAGGTTGTGTCATGTAGACTTCTTCATACAAATCGCCATTCAAGAACACAGTCTTGACATCCATCTGGTGAAGATTAAGATCAAGCTGTGCAACTAAAGCCATTACCACTCTAAAAGCATCTTTGGTGGATATCGGAGAGAAGGTTTCTGTGTAATCAATACCTTCTTTCTGGTTGTAGCCTTTAGCTACAAGTCTGGCTTTATATCTATCAATTTCACCCCTAGC